GGCGGCGGACTTTGCTTGCCAGCTCGCCTTCAGCAGGACGATTAGAGCCTTCAAAGGCGACGTGTCGGCGGACGCATTGGGATCGATCCGGCCGCTATGCAAGGTGCCCAAATCGTTGCACGCCGAGCTAGACGTGGTGATGGCGGGAACTGTCGGCGCGGAGTCTTCCCCCACCTCGCCGCTCCCTTCCGTGCTTGCAAGGTACTTGTCCACGTAGCTGTCGAGTGATTCGGACCTGCGATGAGCAGCCGTGTGTGTTGCAGAGCGTGGTCTTTTAGATTGATGAAGCTCGGAAGCAGCAAGTGCGTACTCTTCCAAAGACGGGCTCGACAATCGTTTCTGAAGGTCGCCAGCACCCTCTTGAATCTTCGCGTCCCCGAGCTCCTTGGTACCTCGCCTTGGCCTGATTGGTGTCGTATTGCTACCAGAAGCCCTGTTCTGATCGGATGTCTCGATTTGCGCTGAAGGGTCGCTACGTTTACGCTTGTAGGTGGATCTGTCAGACTCGTCCGCGTGCAGTGATGGCGACGAGCGATAGTCTAGCCCTTCCTCTATTGGCAAACAGTGCCTGCGACCTTGACTGTGTGACGAACGTTCAACGTCACACGTCAGCGGCGTCATGGCTCCTCTGGACGAATGGCTATGAGTAGAATGGCGCGAAACACTCAGATCAGTGCCTGCTCAAGCGTGTGATCACGCTACGACAGCCCATGCATGCTTCCCGACATGACTGCAAGCCAGACTTGCTCAACTTACCGGCTATCGATGCCTGCCGATGCAAGCAAGCAATGAGGTACTTTTACCCAGGTGCTGAATCGCGAGGGCCGCCTGTACGGCACTGCCGATCGCGGCCGTGATGGAATGCGCACCTGCGCTTCACTTTGTCCGCTGGTGCAACTTGCATTTGCCGGTGAGGCGCTTTCATCGCATGTTGATGGATGCCGTGGACCGGTGGGGATGCCGTGCAAGGCGCGGGTCGAGTTGAGCTGAACAGAGAGCATGTTGGCAAGTCGATCTTGAGTCTTGCGTGCACCCGCGAGGCGATGGGCCTTGACGGCGGTACA